TACACAGAGAGAGGGAGAAGCAGAGAGAGAGAGAGAGAGAGAGAGAGAGAGAGAGGGAGAATCTTCCATCTGCTGATTCATTCCCTAAACTGGCCCCTGTCCCAGCTGTTTTAAGATTTTTTATTTATTTGAAAGACAGAGTTACACAGAGAGAGGGAGAAGCAGAGAGAGAGAGAGAGAGAGAGAGAGAATCTTCCATCTGCTGATTCATTCCCTAAATGGCTTGTCTAGACCAAAGCCAGGAGCCAGGAGCTTCATCTGGGTCTCCCACGTGGGTGCAGGGGCCCAAACACTTGGCCCAAGCACCTCTGCTGCTTTCCCAGACGCAATGGAAGGTAATTGGATTGGAAATGGGGCAGCTGGAGTTTGAACTGGCACCCATATGGGATGCTGGTGCTGCAGGTGGTGGCTTAACCCACTGAACTACAGTGCTGACCCCAAGTGCTTGGGTTTTTGATTCCCAGTTCTGGCTCCTGAATCCAGCTTCTTGCTAACCTAGACACTGGGCGACAGCTGTGATGCCTTAAGTGACTGGGTTCCTGCACCCATGTGGGAGACCTAGATTGCATTCTGGCTCCTGGCTTCACCCCTGGCCCCATCCTGAGCACTGCGAGCATTTGGTATGTGAATCAGCAGAAGAGAATTCTCTCTATCTCAATGTCAAATAAATTAAAACTAAAAAGAAAACAAAAGAGAGAGAGAAAGACCATGTAATAGCAACAATATCTCCAGCTGCAAACCGGGCAGTTACTTCTGTCTGGGGGTTGGGGAAGCCAAGGGTTTGAGCTGAACCTTGCAAGAGAGATATCTTCCATTATTGGGGAAAGTGGCTGAACATTAAGGTGTCTGGGGTGTGAGAACAGCTATCGACTGCCCCCCACCTGCACATTGCCTTCTTTTGGAGGGGTGAAGTCACGTTCTTTGCAATAAGTAATTATCTCAGTGCTTATGTTGTTCTAGGTTAGGCACTGGGGACAGAGCAGTAAGCAAGGTCACAAGGTCCCTGTCCTCCCGTAGCTTACAATCTAGCAGGAAAGACAGGTACTTATGCAAGAACACAAGTAAATGAGAGCTGGAATAGATAAAATGAGGTGATGATGTGGACGGCACAATACAGTAACTGGCACTCAGGAAGTGGTAGGTGCTTGACCTTGGCTGGTCCAGTCATAGTGGTCAGTTCAGAGCTGGGGGCCAGCACTGTGGCTACCATCTGCAGTGCTGGTATCCCTTACAGGTCCAAGCCCCAGCTGCTCCATTTCTGACTTAGCTCCCTGCTAATACACCTGGGAAAGCATCGGAAGATGTCCTAAGTGTTTGGGCCCCTGTACCTACGTGGGAGACCTGGATGAAGTTCCTGGCTCCTGGATTTGGCCTGGCCCAGCTCTGGCCCTTGCAGCCATTTTGGGAATGAAACAGCCCATGAAAGATCTCTCCATCTCTCTCTCTTTGTAATTCTGATGTTCAAATAAATAAATACATCTTTCAAAAATATTTTTAGGAGCCAGCGCTGTGGCGCAGCAGGTATAGCCACCACCTGCTGTGCCGACATCCCATATGGGCACCGGTTCGAGTCCCGGCTGCTCCTCTTCCAATTGAACTCTCTGCTATGGCCTGGGAAAGCAATGGAAGATGGCCCAAGTCCTTGGGTCCCTACACCTTCGTGGGAGACCTGGAAGAAGCTCCTGGCTCCTGGCTTCGCATCAGAGCAGCTCCGGCCATTGCAGCCATTTGGGGAGTGAATCAGCGGATGGAAGACTTTTCTCTCTCTCTCTCTGCCTCTCCTTCTCTCTCTGTGTAACTCTTTCAAATAAATAAATAAATAAATCTTTAAAAAAGAGGAAGAGTTGGGGGAAGGGGCTGGCTCGCTCTCACTGACCTGGAAACGGCCTGGGCAGCTGACCCTGCTGGCAGCTGTGCCATCGCCGTGCAGTCTCAGGATGCAGCCCCACCAAGGAGAGATCATCCCCTGGTGATATTATTGGAACACCTGGATCCTCCCATGCCTGAAGCTAGAACCACACCCTGTTGATTGAAGCCAGATTTGGAAAAATCACGTGCAGCAGAAGACGCCCTGTGTGATTGTCACTGCTGCTGCTGTTCCCCAGCTGCTCCGTGACGTTGCTGACAGCTCGAGGGAGGCCCAGGAGCTGTCCAAGAGAAGACTCGGCACTTCCGGCTGGGCTCCAGAGTTCCAGATGCATTTATATGGGGATGAGCCCGGAAAGGGTGTGTGTGCGTGTGCGTGTGCGTGTGTGTGTGTGTGTGTGTGTGTGTCCTGGAGGGGGTGGGGTGTCCAGTGAGGGAGGTGGAGGGTCCAGGCTCCTAAGCACTAGAGTCAGTCTGCCACCTGCTCCGCCGTGGCTTGCACAGAGATGCAAACCTCTCCCACGGGATGCCTGTCTGTGGCTGAGCCTGCCTGCCAGCACCCCTTTCAACTCCCAGACGCTCATCATCTGTGCTTCATCTCTGCAGGGGGCAACCGAGCCCTGAACCCCCTGGGGAGCAGGCAGGGCAGCTCACCCCAGGGCCCTGCAGCCTTCTTCCCCCTGCCTCCCCCGGGTGGCCACTGCCTGGCCCCCTCCCATTTGCCCGGAGCTTTGAAGTCTCACCTTCCTGCCTCTCATGGCATCCCTTCCCGCCTCCATCTGCACTTCCAAGGACAGGGCAGGCACACCGGGACGCAGGGCTGGGCGAGAGACAGGAAGGGCAGTCTTGGGCCTGCAAGGACAGGCTTTTCTTCCTGAACCTCAGCTTGCAGGCCTGTCACATGGGAGTCTTGTTCCCTGCACGCTCACGGGGGCCTTCCACTGAGGCTCCCATGGTCTTTAGTGTTCAAGATCTGAGAGGCCCCTGGACCTTCCCTCCTGAGGTGTGAGTGCCTGCATACTGGGTATTTCTAGGCCTGCTGCTTGCCCAGGGCAGCTGCTGGGTTAAATAGGAGGGGCTTGGATCCGCTGGAGAAGGGCGAGGGGCCTAGGACACTGGAGTTTGAGTGACACTGAGAGAATATCAACTGTCTGAATCAAAGATCCACCACGTTGCGGCGCAGTAGTTTTAGTCACTGCTTGTGATACAGGCATCCCATATCCTGGTGGAGTCCGGCTCCTCTGTTTCTGATCCAGCTCCCTGCTAATGCACCTGGGAGTGCAGTGGAAGATGGACAAAGTATTTGGGCCCCTGCCACCACCCCTGGGAGACCCACCTGGAGTTCTGGGCTCCTGGCTTCAGCCTGGCCCAGCCCTGGTTGTTGCGGCCATTTCGGGTGTGAACCAGGGGATCTGTGTCTGTGTCTCTGCCATTCTGCCTTTCAAGTAAATAAATGAAGTTTTTTTTTTTTTTTTTTTTTTTTTCGACAGGCAGAGTGGACAGTGAGAGAGAGAGACAGAGAGAAAGGTCTTCCTTTGCCGTTGGTTCACCCTCCAATGGCCGCCGCGGCCGGCGCGCTGCGGCCGGCACACCGCACCGATCCGATGGCAGGAGCCAGGAGCCAGGTGCTTTTCCTGGTCTCCCATGGGGTGCAGGGCCCAAGCACTTGGGCCATCCTCCACTGCACTCCTGGGCCACAGCAGAGGGCTGGCCTGGAAGAGGGGCAACCGGGACAGAATCTGGCGCCCCGACCGGGACTAGAACCCGGTGTGCCGGCGCCGCTAGGCGGAGGATTAGCCTAGTGAGCTGCGGCGCCGGCCAATAAATGAAGTTTGAAAACAAAAAGGACCCCCCCCCCCCAACAAATACAGACTTGTAACATCTACTGGGAGTACATGAATATCTGCTAGATTATTTTTCGCATATTAAAAAAATCTTTCCTAACCAGAAATGAAGATGAAGGAATTTGGGGGTTGGTAGAGATTTGGGGAGGGATATCCTACTCCGCCCTCAGTCCTAAACTGACACCTGATACAACTGTCTGTTTCCCAGACGCCACCTCTCTCTCTCTCTCTATGTCTATCTAAACATCTGTCCATCTCCAGTCAACACTTCAGTGCCATGCTTCAGGCAAGCTGTGGACACTGAAGTTAACTGGCCGGGTGGAGGAGGAGGACCCCTGGTGTTGGAGGAAGATCCCTCCCGACTGCCATCCTCATTCCAGCCCTGATGGGCTGTGTGACCCTCAACCCCACCCTGCAAGCTCTGAGCCTCTAGAAAGTGCAGACCATGACAGCGCGGAGGGCATCGCCGTATTAGATGGAGGCAGAGCTCTCTGCAGGACAGCAGCTGGCCTTGGGGGCGGGCACAGGGAGAAAGGTGTGGGAGGAAAGGGCCGTCCCTTCCACAGTCCAGGGGGTGATGTTCTGCCACCTGCCCCTCTAACTGGCCTCCTTCAGACAGGCAGCCAGATTTCTGTGTGAGCTGTGGGGTTCGGAGAGCAAAGGAGGAGAGTTTGCAGTTCTGTGGGCTTTTTGAGGACCAGCTGGTGCCCCTGGGAGGGGACAGTGCCTCCCGGGCCATTGTCTCCCATGGGGCCTGCTCCTGCTCTTAGCTTGGAGGTTGTTGGAAGTGCCTTGGCAGACAGCCAGCCTTTGAGGTGGCCCTGGGGGCGGTGTGTGTGTGTGCAACACTGCAAGGGGCACTGGGACTCCCTGGGCACCCTGGCTCCCTGGTACTCCGGGCAGGACAGGTGCTTCAGAGAATGACCGGGACCCACCAGGCTGGGGAGATTGACTGTCAGCTGGGGCCAACCTAAGGATGTAATTAAAGTATTGAAGGTAAGTGCAGGTGCTTGGCCTAGCGACCCCGGGGCCGGTGTCGTGGCGCAGCAAGTTAAGTCATCGCCTGCAACGCCAACATCCCGAATGGGTCCTGGCTGCGCCCCTTCTAATCCAGCTTCCTGCTAATGCGCCTGGGAAAGCAGCAGAAGACGGCCCAGGTACTGACTGGGGAGACCTGAGAGGAGTTCCTGGCTCCTGGCTTTGGCCTGGTTGTTGTGACCATCTGGGGAATGAAACCAGTGGATAAAATTCTCTCTGATTCTTCTTTTCAAATAAATGATAACAAAGGAATAATAATAAAATATTTTTATTTATTTGTTTATCGTTATTATTTTTAAGATTTTTTAAAAATTTATTTGAAAGACAGAGTTACAGAGAGAAGTAGAGACAGAGAGAGAGGTCTTCCATCCGCTGTTCACTCCCCAGATGGCTGTAATGGCTGGAGCTGCGCCGGTCCAAAGCCAGGAACTTGGAGCTTCCTCCGAGTCTCCCGTGTGGGTGCAGGGGCCCAAGGACTTGGGTCATCTTCCACTGGCCATAGCAGAGAGCTGGATTGGAAGAGGAGCAGCCAGGACTTGAACCAGTGCCCCATGGGATGGCCAAGCCCCAGACTGAGGTTTAGTCCGCTATGCCACAGCATCAGCCCTGAGTTGTCAGCATTTCCAGAAGCAGGGCAAACAGCTTCTGCCTCTCTCTCTCACTGACACTGCCTCCGTCCCGCTCACCCCACATCCCACCTATCTGCTCTGGCTGGGTCAGTGGCGCAGGAGACAGCTGCTTGGTGCCTCCCTGGTGAAGGGAGGACCAGGGTGCTGGCTGCGCATGTTGGCCTCTGGCCTGGACAGCCAGGAACCCCACGTTGAGCTCACCTCCGCCCTCCCTCACAGGCATTTCCACCCAGCCGCGACCTTCCTGCCTCTGTGTGCCTGGGTTCCAGCATCTGCCCAGGGCCTGACACAGCGCACTTGCTGGAGGGAAGAAGGTCCAGGGAAAAGAAATGGTGTGCTGGAGGTAGGGGCACTCACGTTAGGTGGGGCCAGTGCCATGGCCCGGTAGGTTAATTCTCTGCCTGCAGTGCCAGCATCCCATATGAGCGCCAGTTCTAGTCCTGGCTGCTCCTCTTCCGATCCAGCTATCTGCTTATGGCCTGGGAAAGCAGTGGGGGATGGCCCAAGCCCTTGGGTCCCTGCACCCACGTGGGAGACCCGGAGAAGCTCCTGGCTCCTGGCTTCAGATCAGCCCAGCTCCGGCCGTTGCAGCCATCTGGGGAGTGAACTAACGGACGGAAGACCTCTCTCTCTGTTTCTCCCTCTCACTGTCTGTAACTCTACCTCTCAAATAAATAAATAAAAATAAATAAATAAAAATAAATAAATAAAAGGAACACATTCCCAGCAGGCCCCTCCCTGCCCCTCCCTTCCCCAACAGGTCCCTGTTACCTGGCACCAGGCGCGGGAATTGGACATGTGGGGAGTGTGGCCTCGGGCAGGTCCGTTCCCCCCAGACACCAGCTTTTGCGTCCTTCCAGTCCACAAGGGGAGCATCTCGCGGGCCCCTCCTGGAGCCCCTGGCCCACTCTGCCCCCCAGGCTCTCTTGCCTTGGCCTGACAGCTGGCGGTTCTGCTCCCAGAGTCAAGAGCAGTCTGGAGTGCTGGCAGAAACTTCTCGAATCCTCCCCTGGCTCCCGCTGTGGCCTTGGCTCTGGGCGGGGGGCCCTGGGGCCTCTCCCAGTGGGTGCCGGGGCCAGAGCTGCCTTTGTCTGCCGCAGGAGGCCAGCCAGGCGGCTGAGGCTGCAGGCGGCCCCTGCCCAGGCCTGGGAGATGGTTTTTTTTTTTTTTTTTTTCTGTGTGTTGCAGCTGGGACCGTTTATAATAGGAAAAAAAGAGAATGACCAGGCCAGCCGGCTGGAAAATAAAGAGACTTAAAAAGAAAGGGGCTAGGCCTGCTCTTCTCCTGTGGAGGCTTTGGTTAGGCAGAAAGTTTTAGTTCCTTTCTGAAAGGCATTTGGGCTTTTGAAGTCCCCTGCGGGAGCTCCCTCTGGCCCCTGGGAAGCCAGGCCCTGGCATGTCCCGATGTGCATGACCAGGATGGGGCCGGGCCACTTGGGGGAGGCAGCAGGCCCTGAGAAATGCTGCCTCAGGCTGGGTCCGGTGGAACCAGAGTACCCCCGCTCTCCTCCAATCCCAGGAGGGGCCCCCCTGAGCCCCACTACCTCCCTCTGTGGCCTCTTGCCTGAATTTCCTCTGCTCCTCTGGCTTTGAACTCTGGCCAGGCACCGGTTGGGCCAGAGGGCAGGAATAAATCCAGATCTCTTTCTCCCTTTAGGCAGAGAAGCAGAGCGATTTCACAAAGGGGAGACTGAGGCACACAGAGGGCTGGCGGGAGGCCGCCCAGGCCACTTCGACTTACTGAGGGGCTATTGTTCGTGCTTTGTCTATTTTAACAACCACCAGCATTCACGAGGTGCTTACAACGTGGCAGGACCCCATTAATGAGTCTGGGGCCCTGGCAGACAAAAACAGGTGCGTGGGTCCTACGGCTCCACTGGGGGAAGCTGCCCTGCTGGCTTTGTTTCTTTCCTTAGTTCCGGTCCTCCCAAAAGAGCTAGCTTTCTTGCCAGCCTGCCCTTAGCAGGGGCTCAGCCACCCCATTACTTGAAGAAGCACTACCACTCAAACACAACTGGCACCGACCAAGCACCTATTGCTGGGAAAGTACTGGGTTCTTGACACGTCAAAGCCTTAGCTTCTTCCGAACATCTGCAAGGCTGGTCGTCATGGTGATACTCTCTTGTTGCTTGAAGCTGCCCTGTGCCATTGACATCACCCTCATCTTACAAGTGAGGTTGCCTGGCTCCAGGGGCACGGCTGGTGAATAATAAGGGTGAGATTAGAATTCGGATCAGTCTGGCTTGTTCCATGACATCAGCTTTTGTGCTATGGGTAAGGTCTGGCTAGTGTCCAGTTCTCACCTCTGGTCATCTGGTCGGCATGTGCCAGCACCTCCAGTCACCTCCACTCAGTGGGCAGGAAGTGAGCACCATGGTGTAGTCAGGATATGTAGCAAAAAATCTGGGGCTGTGTCCTGAAAGGGATTTTTAAACTTAAATCCTCCATTTTTTAAAGAAAGTTTATTTATTTGAGAGGGAGGGAGGGAGGGAGAAAGGAGAGTTCCCATCTCTGTGAAATGCCTGTGATGGCTGGGGCGGGGCTGAGGTCGGAGCTGGAAGCCCAGAGCTCAATCAGTCTCTCATATTAGTGGCAGGGACCCGATCGCTCGAGCCATCTCCATCACCTCCCAGGATCTGTATGAGCAATAGATGGGAGCTGCAACTAGGCATCGTATCCACGTACTCTGATATGGGACATGGGCATCTTAACTGCTACACCAAATGCCTGCACCCTGAAAGGGCTTTCAGGGCCAGAGCCATGGCATTGTGAGTAAAGCCGCTGCCTGCTGTGCCAGCATCTCACATGGGCACTGGGTTCGAGTCCTAGCTGCTATACTTCCAATCCAGCTCTCTGCTAATGTGCCTGGGAAAGCAGCAGAAGACGGCCCAAGTCCTTGGGCCTCTGCACCCACGTGGGAGACCTGGAAGAAGCTCCTGGCTCCTGGCTTCAGATTCACCCAGCTCTGGCCACTGTGGCCAGATAGAGAATGGACCAGCAGATGAAAGACCTCTCTCTTGTCTCTCTCTCTCTCTGTAACTCTGTCTTTCAAATAAATAAATCTTTTTAAAAAATACAATCTCTTAAAAAAAAAAAAAAAAAAGAAAGGACTTTTAGCTTAGCTGACTGGGCAAAGCTTTTTCCCCCTCGGTCTTTGCTATCCCCCAGAGAGCCTTCTTGTGACAAAGGCTGACGACACAGGGATGGATCCGGGCACCTCAGCACACAGCACAGACTGATGGCTGCTGCGCAGCGCCATCGCTGTGTTGTGAGCATTGGCAGGGCATGAGGCTGTAACCGGGAGCAGCATGGACGCCGCCCTGATGGTCCTGTTTCCCTCCTCCCTACTGTGAGCACTGGGTCCCCAAGGGCAGGGACCACACACGCTGGTGTTGGGAGAGCTCCATGTGTTTCTCCCAGGCTTGCACACTATAACAGTGGGGGCAAGAGGAAGGGCAAACACACAGGACAAATACAAATATATTTTTCTTTCTTTCTTTTTTTTTTTTTTTTTGCAAAATGATTTAAGCTAGTTTGGTCCTTTTTAGTGGCTAACAGTGGTCACAGGAGAGGTACAGGTGGGTGAGAGCTTGCTGCTCCCCCACAGTCTTGCCAGCATGTGACAGTGAAGATAAGTCATCCATCAGGTTCTGCCACATGGAGCTGGGGGTGTGGCACAGCAGGTGGAGCTGCCGCTTGTGACTGTGACCCCGGCATCCCACCCTCCAGCCCCAGTTCAAGTCCTGGCTGTTCTGCTTCTGACCCGGCTCCCTGCTCATTTGCTTAGGAAGGGATCAGAGGATTCCCCAAGTACTTGGGTCCCTGCCACCCAGGTGAGAAACCCAGATGGAGATCCTGTCTCCTGGCTTCGGTCTGGTCCAGCCTCAACCATTGTGACCATTTGAAGAGTGAACCAGTGGATGGAAGACCTCTCTCTCTCTCTCTCTCATCTCCCCTTCTCTCTGTTGCTCTGCCTTTCAAATAAACACATAAATCTTAAAAAAAAAATTCTGCCAGGGTTGGAGTATTGGGTAAAGCTGTCACCTGTGATGCCAGCATCCCATATAGGTGCCAGTTTGAGTCCCAGCTGCTCCACTTCCAAATCAGGTTGCTCTTCATGGCCTGGGAAAGTAGCGGAACATGACCCAAGTGCTTGGGCCACCCCTGCCACCCCTGCCGGAGATCTGGAAGAAGCTCCTGGCTTCAGACTGGCCTAGCCCTAGCCTTTGTGGCCGTCTAGGGAGTGAATCAGGAGATGGACAATCTCTCTCTGAGTCTCTCCCTCTTTCTCCATAACTCTAACTTTCAAAATAAACAATCTGTTTTTTAAAAAAAATTCGCTGGCGCCGTGGCTCACTAGGCTAATCCTCCACCTAGCGGCGCCAGCACACCAGGTTCTAGTCCTGGTCGGAGCGCCGGATTCTTTCCCGGTTGCCCCTCTTCCAGGCCAGCTCTCTGCTGTGGCCCGGGAGTGCAGTGGAGGATGGCCCAAGTGCTTGGGCCCTGCACCCCATGGGAGACCAGGAGAGGCACCTGGCTCCTGCCATCGGATCAGCATGGTGCACCGGCCGCAGCGCGCCAGCCATGGCGGCCATTGGAGGGTGAACCAACGGAAAAGGAAGACCTTTCTCTCTTACTATCCACTCTGCCTGTCAAAAAAAAAAAAAAAAAAAAAAAAAAAAATTCGCCCACAGGCAAACGCTTTCAGAGTTCCAGACTCAAGCAGGCCACCTAACAAACAGAACGGGCCTACCACCAGCTGTCTCAGCTCCACCAACTCCTAGCTCTGTCCTTTGAGGAGATCTGACCAATCCCAGCATGCCGAGCCCCACGGCGCTCCCTGGCTGTGTTCCTGGTCCTGCTGGACACCATGCGGTCAGAAACCCTCCTCCGTGGGGAACACTGAGGGCCCCGCTGTGCATGCAGGGGTGGTGTCCCGAGATTGCAGATTGTCCCAGCCTCACTGCCACCGTCACAGCCCCTGTTCCCTTGGTCTGGGGAGCCGAGAGGCTCTAGATCATGGTTACTAAACTACACCTTGAACGCCTTTAATTTCACCTACGGAGCCATCACATTTTTGGTAGCCAGGTTGCTAACTGGATGTTTGGTGGCTGACCAAGCCACTGATGCTGGAGGACTTGTGACCAGCCCTCGGCTGCATGTTGGGGTGCTTCCCTGACCACTCCTAGTGAACGCTTAAAACACTGGGGAGCTATATCATCACATCATGGTGCAATGGGCTAAGTGGTAGCCTGTGACGCTCATGTACCTGGGAAAGCAGTAGAAGATAACCCCTGCCATCCACATAGGAGAACTGGATGGAGTTCCAGGCTCCTGGCTTCAGCCTGGCTCACCCTGGCCATCGCAGCCATTTGGAGAGTGAATCAGCAGATGAAAAATCTCTCTCTCTCTCTGTGAGTGTGTGTGTGTGTGTGTGTCTCCCCCTCTCTGTAATGCCGCCTTTCAAATAAATAAATAATAAGCACATCTTACAAAAATCACATTCATTTTACTTGAACTTAAAATCTAACATTTTCTCCACCTGCGGCGCCGGCACACCAGGTTCTAGTCCCGGTTGGGGCGCCGGATTCTGTCCCAGTCGCTCCTCTTCCTGTCCAGCTCTCTGCTGTGGCCAGGGAGTGCAGTGGAGGATGGCCCAGGTCCTTGGGCCCTGCACCCACATGGGAGACCAGGAGGAAGCGCCTGGCTCCTGGCTCCTGGCTCCTGGCTTCGGATCAGCGCGGTGCGCCGGCTGCAGCGCACCGGCCGTGGCAGCCATTGGAAGGTGACCCAACGGCAAAAGGAAGACCTTTCTCTCTGTCTCTCTCTCACTGTCCACTCTGCCTGTCCAAAAAAAAAAAAAAAAAAAAAATCTAAAATTTTAGGAACCGGCTCTGTGGCATAGAGGGTAAAGCTGCTGCCTGCAGTGCCGGCATCCCATATGGATGCTGGTTCGAGTCCCAGCTGCTCCACTTCCAATCCAGCTCTCTGCTAATGCACCTGGGAAAGCAGGGGAAGATGGCCCCTGTACCCATGTGGGAGACCTCAAAGAAGCTCCTGCCTCCAGATCGGCCCAGTTCTTGGCC